TTCCCCTCAGGGCAGTGTGTTAGGTCTATCTACACATTCAACGCTGTGACTGCGCTCTCCTTCGCGCCTGAGGGGGACGGCTATATCATCACCGGTTCAGGTGTGTTTCTGCCAGGGCACAAAGTACAAGTGACACAGCGGACAGAATAATTGGTCTGTTTCCGTTGACGCATGTGCACAATTTCATCCCAAGTTCGTGTTTACGTCTTTACTAATATCCCTGCCGAGTCTGACTCTGTGGCATCATCTGCCACAGAGTTACTGTAGCGCAATGCGTTTGGGTCGATTCGGCTGTCTGGCTCAGGTGTGTCAGCTGTGACCAGCGATAATGACTGCCAGTCGCCTGTCTTCACACGTTAACCTCACACTCTGTCACCCTGCAGACGGGGGGAAAGTTCAAGCCTGGAGCTGGCACACTTTCCAAAACTGCCAGTCAGTCAAGGCACACGAGGAAGCAGTCACCTCCATCCAGGTGCGTCGTGTTTATTTGGTCATAGTCAGTGTGAAAAAGCAACAAATGCCCTTTACATGAAAGCCTTCTGGCGTCTGGCTAATTTGAACACACAGTCCCTGCTTGGACATTTCAATTAAAATAAAATAAAATCCCAACACAGCTGGATGCAGTCTTGATTTAATAAAGTTGTTCACATCGTTAGGGTCTACCTATAACAAGAAATGAAAAAAACATCTGTTAATTCTACAATTTATTGGTTTAAACATAATTCATTGATGGTTATTGTTTTTTTTTTTTTTTTTTTTTCATTTAGTTGGGTCTTAAACTGAGATCTAAAACTAAACTAAAAAGTACGGGACCTAAAACAGTTCTCTGTGAAACTCTTGAACTTAAAATAAATCAGTTCAGATGTAGTTTTTAGGTCCTATTTAGATGTCATACAAATCAAGATAATGGTGATGTATATTATTATTTTCAAAGATTTAGATTAAAGTATTGTAATTTAATGAGTCAGATCTTCTGATTTATTTTTTCAGGATAGCACTCTCCTTCACCCCAATGACGTTCAAACCGAGACTAAAACATGCTTTTACAAGTGTCTCCTATAAATCTTGAACATTTGTATTGTTAATTTTGACGAAAAAAAGCTTATTTTCAAAGAAATAAAGTTGGCATGTTTCCACACTTTCAGCTTTTCCTTATTTGTTGCTTTCAAATGGATATAAAGATATTCGCTGAGATCCAGGCTGTGGAGCTGGTCCAATTTTAGAGAATACTGTTTGTTTTTCTTTTAGCAAAAAGGAGGCTTTTATGAAAACTGTAACCCAGAGCTCCACATGCACAGTTTTGTTTAATATTTTTTTTTCAATTTGCAAGCATCATAATACGCCTAAAGCATTAAAGCATCACACATTATTGTCACCCTCTTTGTTGTTTCTCATGCAAAGCACACAATCCATTTATAACCAGCAGCGGAATGAAAAACATCTTAAAATATTCACTTTAATTCCATTTCCACAAACATAGACGCAACAACACACACACGCAGGCAACACTGGGTAAGGACTCGAATCACCATGACAACCGTGTCTCTGGTGCCCTCCACAGTCTCAGGGTCCTCTGGTGTTCAGTGGCTCGGCTGAGGGGGGGGTGTCTGTGTGGGAGAACCGGCGTTTTGAGCGAGAGCCCTTCAAGCTGCTGCACCACTGGAGCAGCCAGGTGACGGGCCTCAGCGGGAGGTCGGGCGGCCGACTGACGCTCAGCCCGCGCGGGGACAAGGTGGTCCTGGCTTACGGTCGAGCCTCCATCAAGATCCTTCACTGGAGGACAGGTGAGCCGCAGATGTTCGGGAAATCTGCATAATCCTCCCACCTAACATCTGTTCAATTACCACAGGAGTGATATCCAGGTTGACCAATCACAGCAGCATCACCGGCGTGACAGATTGTGTTCACCAGACGGGGGGCATCCTAATTGGCTCCTGCTACAACCTGGCGAACGGAGAGAGCTCCCTTAACTGTGAGTCAAAGATTAAAGCGTGCGCAGCCAGAAGCTCCTCCTGCTGCTCTGAGCGTGAAAACACAATAAGGACTTAAGTCGAAGCCACTATGTGCTCCTCTGCTGACCTCCAAACCCTTAATCTCTTTCTCCTCTCTGCAGTGTTCTCTCTGCCTCAGTTTCGCTATCTGGCCTCCCTGACCTGGCCGGATGCTCCCAGAATCCTCTGCTTCGCGGCGTGGACGACTGGTAGTGGAGACCACCGCTGGGTGACCGGAGGCCGAGACCTCATAGTGTGGGAGCAGCTCCCCAGTTCTGGGAAAAACAGGTGGGTTCGGCTCTTACCGGTATTTCACATCCAAAGTTTCTTATTTAAATTTATGGGTTCCTATGCAGACCTGGCAACACAGAGCGCCCTCTCTGATTACTGGCAACTGCCTTAAAGGGAATCTATCATGCAAAATTCACATGTTAGATGTTTTTGATATTTCCATTTGGGTTTCTTCTGCTTCTACAAACACTTGGAGTGATTAAAAAAACACCCAGCATGTGTTGGAAATAAGTTCATACTTTTTAGTGTCTGGACAATGAGCTTTTTCAAAAACCTCCCAAATGTGACATCACAAATCAGCAGGCTCTGCCAATTGAAACCCAGCCCGTTACCTAGCAACCCCTGCCACGCCCAGATTGTCACCTAGCAACCCAAACTGAGTTCCAGCACATTCTGTCAGCTGGTTTCACCACTCTCTTTTCTCTTTTTGTTCTGCTTTTCTAATTGAACATCTGTTTGCAGCCATTTTCACATATAAGTGTAACTTTGAGTTGGGGGCGTGACCAGCAGCGGCTTCTTTGGATTTAAAGTGACAAGACGCCCTAAAACAGCTCAAATAGGCAAAACTGACTAGACTACATTCTCATTATATCAGAATGATTTCATGTAGCCCATAGACCTATCCTAACCTGCACAAGAGACAATAATAGGTCACTTTTAAAATAAATTGTTGTGATGGAGACTCCAAACTGCCAATCTTTGCTGGAGATGCACTAACTGTGAGCTTCAGGGTTTGTTTTTCATCCCTTTACTATCCTCATGATTGCTTGGTGAAGTTTTTTAATTCTCTTTGACTTCTCTAGTCTTTCCCGTCTTGAAGAGTGGCTTAAAGAAATGAGCAGGAAGTTCACAATTTAAAGTTTGACTCTTTTGTCACTTTAAAAAGTAAAAAAAAAAAAGATTCCAGAATTGCTTCAGTTATGTTTATTTTTTTAGGAAGTAATTTGGGTCCAGATAAGTGTTGAAAACTAATTATTTCCTAACCTGGGATTTAAATCACTCTGAAGAGAATGGGAAGAGAGAGGGAATGGAAATTAGTTTTGTTTTCTGAACTTATTCTGTCTAAAAAATCTGAATATCTAAACTGAACCACTAAAGCAACCCGGCTGCTTTCTGAATTGATTATTTTATGCAAAACTAAGGACCATATTATCATAATGTAAACTACAAACACATGCCTTCTCAAAGTTTTATGGATAGACATTACACAGATGATGGAAAACCTAATGACAAGATTGAGCCCTGTAATTTGTGGAGCATTAACTTAGAGAAATACGTGAGAGATTTTTTAAAAGTTTTGTTTCCTGTGGCATTTTTTGTATCAGTTTGTGGTTAGTCATAATGTTAGTTAGCACCTAGCATATAAAACAGTGATCAATTGCAAATGTAAAGAAAACATTTGTAACATATAGGTCTGGACTTTGACTAGACCATTCTAATACATGAGTATGCATTTATCTGAAGCATACTGTGTATATATATATATATAAATAATTGATTAAAATACATTGAGTCTCATCCATGGATCTAATTAAGTTGAAGACAATGTACCAGTTTAATTGCATTAGATCAAATTGAATTGGTGAAACTCAAATACATTGTTTGATCAATAGATAGTATTTGATTTAAACTGTCACAAAAAAATTAAGTTGAATGGATTTAACTTATTTAAATTGAAGAAACAAATTTTTTATTGAATGGGAAACATATATAAAATTGAATCGCGTTCATCCAGGGAGTCATTTTCATGAGTGCGCTTTGTTTCACTGCAGGGATGATGTGAAGTCTTAGTTTTCCTTCACATACAGAGTCCGGATCATTTTCTTTCCTCTTCAGACAAATTTCCTTTTATTAGTCATTTACATAAATCTCAATGATGACAAAATGTAGGAAAAGTAGAAAATACTTTTTCAAGTATTTAGTGAGTACTTTTTCAAAGCACTCACCAACAAAAACACGTAGAAACCCTGCGATGTTCGTTACTTCCTCCCTGGGTCAGATGAATTTAATTTCCAGGCGCTACAAGGATTTAAATGCGTGCTAATAGGTTTATCTGTCTGTGCCTCCTCTGTTAATGTAATGCGTTTAGTTAATCCGGGGTCTAAATGTTACAGGGGTGACGTCACGGTGAAGAGAGACCGCCTAATGGACACGACGGTGCTGGAGTCAGAGGGGGACACCGAGGAAGACGAGGACGCTGACGGTATACGTCTCCACGTCTTCCACAAGTTTTAATGAGAGCAACAGCAGAAACGAACACTGTCATATTTGTTTTTAGAAGACACGTGGTGACAAATCCCTAATGAAAGCCTTTCGGGTTCCAGATTGCAAGGATAATGGGGACGGAGGGGCTGAGGGGGCTGAGGAGGATGGATCGCCTGGATCGCCTGGCTCGTGGCTGCGCTGCGTTCTCCAGTGAAGCTCAGGACTCCACGGCCTGCAGCCACCAGCAGGAAATGAGAGGGTGGAAGAAGTGACAGACTGAGTGCCAGTCTGGGAGGAAGAGGAGGGGAGCATATGGACACGGAGAGAATGAGTGACTGAGTGTGTGTGGACGTGTGATAGGCAGATTGTTTTCTCTGTAAATATTTTCACGTTCAATAAAGCCGTCAAAGTGCAAATTTGCAGCTCTTGTTGTCTTTCTCTCTCTCTCTCTCCTCCTCTTCTTTGATTTCGGGGTGACCCTGCCTCTTCCTAACACACCAGTTCATCGCCTCCACTTCCCCGCCGGAGTAAAACTGATTAAATGAGCTGGAATCACATTTTCTGCTCATTCTTTCCTCCCCGTCTCTTTCTCTCGGAGCTGCCTCCCTAAACACCACAGAGTTACTTATTGTTTTATGCTTTAACCTCTCACCTCCATAATTACCTCATTAATGTCATCCTTTGTGTCACTCATTCTCCTCTGTGTCCATTTAATAAAAAATAATAAAGCATAATAAGCATTTAAATCTCTTTCCTGCAGTCTGTTGCCCTCCTCTTCATCGTTCTCTCTCCCCTCTCTTACTCTACCAGACTACATGTCTCAGTCACTACGGCAACCGATGTTTTTTTTTTCTTCTTCCTCACTTGCTTTCTGTATCTCCCCCCCTCTCGTCTCCCTCTCTCTCATTCCCTCTCTCCGCTGCCAGAGGTAAGCATGATAACTGATATATGTCTGAGTGCTTGTGTCCGACTCCCGGCGTGCCTGCGCTGTCTCCCGGTGACATTTCTTTGGCATTTCGGTGGAAGAAAGTTCCCCGTTTGTGCCCAAAGTGCCGTGCTGAGTCCTGGCTCCGTGCATGACGCTGGAAATGATGATTAATGTGCTGCGCTCAGGTGTAACTGTGTGAAAGGGAGAGCAGACCTGACAGTGAGTGTGTACTTTTTTTGCATGCAGATGTTGATTCTGTGCAAACATGTGGAGGGCAAATGAGTGGTAAATTTAGATCTCCCTTGGGGAGGCTTTGTTAAGATTGTTTTATCTTTTTAATATCTTCTTCTAAGAGAGAAAGTTGGCTTTGAGCCAGCCCACATGCTGGCTTCTGTGTTTTTAAATGGGGAAAAATAGATTAAAAGGGGAAAAGCAGGACACCCCTCTTTCCCCCTTTCTTCTTCTTTTCTGTATCTCTCTTCCACTCATGTCTTGCAGAGATGATCGGAGAAGAAGAGTCTCTGTGAACACAGCGAAGCGATGGAGAGATGGTAAGATTTCTGAGTATGGGGATGCAGATGCATAAAATGTCATCTGATTGATGGCTGGCATGGGAATCAATGGCTGAGCTGCTGAGGCTGTGCAAGGTGCCTCTGGGCAGCCGGTCCTCTGATACACGCTGTCCACACATCCTTAAAAAGTCTTACGTCTAAAATCAAGGCCTTCAAATGTTCTACATTAATTGAAAAAAAAAATAATAAATTGGCTTGAGTTAATCACAGGTGTTACATTTTGTTGGGGTAGAACTATTTAAGCTCATATTTTCTGTTTTTTTCTCGTTTTTCTTGTGGGAAAAACTTTGAGTCATAGGAGAATATTATCATTGCGCGGTTGCGGCTACGGCTAAGGTTGCTAATAAGCTAGCTAGTTTTTTACGTGGAAATTAATCAGCAGTTGGCTGGATGATATTTCTCTTCGCCATTTTCTCACTTCCGTGGCCAACTCGTACTATGTTGGTTTTTTTTTTTTTTTCTATATTTTCGTCGTGATAGTTGGGCGACTCTGTTCAATTGGGGACCGGAATTTCAACATTTGTTGTATTTTCAGCTGGCGGGACTCGCTTTTACTGTCACGTGATCCGAACCAATTAAAAACGGCTGTTCTCCGTTTCGCCTGTGGTGGCGCTGCGCCAAAAAGCGACTCGAAAACCTCCGAAGAAGACATGAGTACGGCTTCCTTCTTCACAAAATGTAAACAAAAATTGACTAACTTAAAATTTTAACAGTTGTATGATTTCTCCTTTGTTTGAACGTCAGATTCTCTAGTTAGTCTTGGTTGTATTTACCCAGAATGATTAAAAAGTATTAAACAGGGCTGGTGTAAATTCACCCACAAATTCCTTTCATAAAGGTTTTAAATATTATGCGTCTTCCGGGCACATGTTGTCATATTGTAGCACAGAAATGTAACTATGTTAACTTCAATTGTTATATAAAATGCTGTAATATCAAATATGACTTTTACTTTGTAATTTAATGCTTTTAAAATGAAGTCATCACAACACTGTTCCTTTATTGACCTTTTTAACAACGTTTTTACCACTGACAAATAGCTTGTATAATGAGCTCAGCGAATGCAAAGTTCCACCAGGAATTTGCTAATTGCTGCTAGCTATTCTGAAGGAGCTGAGTGGGAGATTCATGAGCAGGTATTGCTCTCTGAGTCAGAAGCTTTGAAACTGCCGCTTCGAGGAGGAACTGTGTCTCGAAGGCGGAGCTAGGTCCACCCAAGTGTTTTACACAGCTGACAATGGAGATAAAAGAATTTCTCAGAAAACACATGAAAGAATCAAACCAACACTCCATAAATAACATGATGCAGAGCGCAAAAAAGTTGATTTTACACAATACTGCCCCACTAAAGCGGACAAAACAGGTCTGGTATAAATTCCATTTGTCATGGACTTGAAAGGTCTTAAATTTAAGTTGGTGAAACCTGCAGAAGCCCAGTGATAGCTCCTGTCACTCCTCTTTCAGCTCCATCTCTCCTGTCGCACGACTCGCTGCCCTCATCTTGCTGCTCCTGGCCGCCCTGCTCTCACAGCCCTCCACCTGTAACGGTGAAGAGGACGAGAAGCCGGAGAACTCCCCGTCTGCACAGCTGTCCGTCAACTCCCAGGTGACGCCTACCCCACTGTGGGCGGTGGTGTGGGGGCCCACACAGCCTCTGGAGGAGGATGCCACCTACCACTTGCTGTCCAGCCAGGAAACCGACCACCTGCACCTGCAGGAGGTCAGCAGTGCCACGCCGGGGGATTGGGTCTACTTCGATTCAAGCGTGCAGCCCCAGGAGAAAGCACACTTGGAGTCCAGGAACAGGGAGGGAGAGGAGGACGGAGGGACGGAGGCAGAGGAGGCGAAACCCGAGGAAGGTGGGCATCAGGAGATCCGCATGAAGGGTTTCTAAATAAAAGTGGCCCTGAGTGTATGAGCACACACACACACACTCGCACCGGGAGTCCTCCAGGGAATTAGCTGTCACAGGGGTGAAGGCTGACACCCTCCTGTGTGCAGCCGGCTGTGTCTGCGCCGGGGAATGCCTAATAAAGTTCTCATCACTCACAGGGAGAATTTGGCCCGTGTCAAAACTGCATAGAAAAAATAAACAAACAGATTGTGGATTGGTGTAGTCAGAGGCCAGAACCTCACACATCCAATTTCATGTCTCAGCTGGCTTTATTGATTCCTTCTGCTGTTCTGAATTCAATTACAGGTGTATCTCAGTAAATCAGAGCATCACTGGAAAGTTAATTAATTTCAGTTATCCAGTTTAGTAGAAATGAAGCTTAAATATATAGATCCAGTTCACTCAGAGGGATGTATTTCAAGTGCTCTGGTTATTATGGCTTCCAGCTTACATAAAAAAATCACCTTCTGACAAAACCAACATTGCATAAGATCAACAGAAATATATATTTTTAAAGGGGCAGTATTATTTATTTCCCAACCATATAATACAATTTTATAGTACAATTAGGTAACTTTGTTACCTGCAGTTCTTATATAAATGCTAAACATATCAAATTTGTCATTATAATTTAACGCAATGGAATTGGGTCTCTCTTTAAACCTTCTGCTATTTCTGAATCTCCACCTCCAGGAAGTCATCACAACATGGCTCCTCTATTAACCCCTCAACTACGCTTTTACCAGCATTGCACTGAGAAGCAGCTCCTATACTGAGAGCAGCAGATGTGCAGGTCCACCTGTTGTTTGCTAATTGCTGCTGGCTAGTCTGAAGGAGCTGAGCTGGAGACGGCTGCTCTGTAAGGCAGAAACTCAGAAGCTTGAAAATTGTGACTCGGAGGAGGAGATGTATCTTGAAACCGGAGTTGGTCCACCCACAGCTGAATGGTTGCCATGGTGATTAAATGATTGTTTTCAAATATGCATGAAAGAATCAAGGAAACACTCCAAGTATTTTCCTTTTGAAGAGAGAATAACATTATGTGTAGCTCAGGCCTGTTGATTCTACATAATACTGCCCCTTTAATTCAGAAGTCTTAGCTTACTGAATGGCACAGTATATGGACTCAATACTCAGTTGGGACTCCTTTTGCTTGAATTACTGCATTAATGTAGCATAGCATGGAGGAAATTGGTCTGTGGTTCTGCTGAGGTACGATCTTCCTACAGGTTATCTATGTTGTTGGCTCTAGTGTCTTTCAAATGGAATGTCCTAAGTATTTCTGGCCAGTCTTGGATCCAGGTTTTGGTACCTTCAGCAGTGGGTCGGTACCAAGTCACTTTGACAGCAGAAGGAAGCATAAAGTGACATAAATCTTCCTGGTATATACCTGCATTGACTTTGGACTTGATGAAACTACAGATTCTCCACTTTGACTCTCTTTGGAAATTGATATCCAAGAGAAATACAAACTTTGCTTTGATTAGTTCTGGTTCACAAGTCGCTTGATGTCTTGCTTATCTCCTCCAAACTCTTGAATGGGCTTTGCTTTACAATCAACGTAAGGGTACATTACCTTTTTTCTTACACAGTTTTTCCCTTCATTTAACTCTTCATTACAGCTAGCTTCTTAAGTAACATTTTGTTGACTTATCCTCTTTGTGGAAAGTGTCTGCTGGTTAAAACATAATATTTCTAAAAATAAATGTAAATGTATTTTTTTCCTAAAGTTACTGAAAAACTGCTCTCTCTCATGTGCATGTACACATTAGTTAAGTTTTTAATTGATTAAGTGGAAGAATAGTAATAAAAATTTGATGATATTCTAATTTATTGCGACGCACCTGTCTGCACAGCATGTTTTGTAGCGTGTGTGTGTGTGTGTGTGTTGCAGTGGACCCTCAGTTCTACGTCACCGTGACCATCTCCTCGCTGCTCATCCTGACAGCAGTCATCATCACAGCCAAACTCTGGTAAGGGGCTGAACCCTCTCTGTTGAGCCGCTTTGCCTGTGAATACATGAATATGAAATGATGGACCCTCACTGTGCAAGCTGGACACCTGCCCCACAGCAGGACGGGGTTAAGGCGTCCTGACTAAAACACCTCGACGTGACGTTTAATCACATCAGAGTTAACTTTCTGATGCTTGATGCAAACATTGAGAGGAATTGAGCTTGTTATTGAGAGTCCAGGCGTGAACATTTTATTTTAGATCTTGTTATTATAATGTCAGTTTTCATTCAGGATGTATTGAGGTCAGTTGTGGAGTTGCTTAGTTCCTAAACTGGAGATTAGGAGGCCTCCGAGGAGTTAGAAGATAAACCTTCAGCGTTACGGAATGAATAAAACATTATTCTGCCGCTTAAAAGGGAAATTTCTTTTTGTAAAGCTTTTATCTGGCTAATTGCAGACATAATTGCACTTCATTAACATACAAAAATGTCTTAAATGGACTAATTTGGCTTAGATGAACTAGTTTTGAGTGGAGGAAGTGGAGATGGTTTAGTTTTCAATTATGATAGGTTTTTTTATATAAGACATTCAGCAGATCAGTCGAGAGACAATAGAAGATAAAAGCTCCTTCACTGCAAAAACACAAAATATTACCAAGTATTTTGGTCTAGTTTCTAGTGCAAATATCAGTACACATGAACTAAGACATATAGATAACCTTCTGCAAGATATATAAACTTGTTTTAAGTCAATATTTTCTTAATATTGATGAAAATGCTAACATATTATGTCACCTATAACATGGAAAAATATCTTGTTATAAGTGCAATAATCTGCCAATTGAACTCATACTTTTTCATCAGTATTCAGGAATAAGCTCCTATTTCTTGCTAAAAAGTTACTATTAAGTTAGTTTCATCTTTTTTCAAGTGTTCTGAAAAAAGATTAAACATATACTAGAAAAATACATATATTTAGAATTCATAATTTCACTTTCTGAATTATTTTAAAAGTTTGTTGCATTTCAGTTTTTACATATTTGATAGTAAGATAGTCAACCTTTTGTTTTTATAAGTTTCTTTATTGTTTGTTATACTTTGGCTGTTTTGCTCCTAATTTCGCTGGCTGAACAGATTAAAGTAGTTTTTACATGTCTGATCGAGCTTGTGAAGCTATTGGTGTGTTTATATGTGTTGAACTGCTGCAGAGATGTCAAATAAATTTGTTATTTTATACATTTCTGTCTGTGTTTTAAAAAAAAAACATTTTAAAGAGGCAGTGTTACATGTTTTCCAGGCACTTAAGGTCATTTCATAGCACAATCAAGTAACAATTTTATTTTCAGTTGTCAAAAATAATATTTATCAAATTTGACATGAAAGACATTTTTCTTTGTAATTTGACACCTTAAAATTGGGCCTCTGTCTCTTTAAAAACTCCTACTCTTCAGGAAGTCATTACATCGCTCCTCTATTAACCCTTCAGCAACATTTTCACATTTTCACTGACAAGTAGCTGCTGTAATGGGGTCAGTAGATGCTCAAGTGTTTGCTAATTGCTGCTAGCTAGTCTGTAGGAGCTGAGTGGGCATAGGGTGCTCTGTGAGGTGGAAGCTATGAAACTGCCGCTCTGAGAAGGAGCTGTGCCTCGAAGGTGGGGCAAGGTCCACCTAGCCATTTTGGATAGCTGAATGGTTGCCACTGAGATTAAAAGATTTCTCAAACATGCATGAAAGAATCAAGGCAAATATCCAGGTGTGTTGCTGATGAGGGGATAACGTTATAACTTGGTAAAGCTGAAAAAAGTTGAGTTCACATTGTACTTCCCCTTTCAGTCAACTCAGCTCTGTTTTTCTCTGTCGGATCGGTACGGACCGAAACTAAACCTCAGATATCGGTATCGGAGGTGAAAACAGTGGAATGGCGCATCCCTTGTTAAAAGTGATAAGCGTTTAAGAGTAGGAATACTTTTTGATGATCCTCAGCGATGGTGGTGGTGGCAGCATGGGGATCCAAACAGCAGATGGCTGGCAGACCCTCGCTGGTGCATCTGGTTTGTGTATCGTTTTGGTTACGTAATGGTTCTGTGTGATCCCCCACCAACTCTCCCTCTCAAGTGAAAGCTGAGTAATTGCCTACTAATGACTTTATTAACAACACTTGTGCTCCTCAAAGTCACAGTTGGCACAGATGTGTCATTTAGAGCCATTAGTGTTGCAATGATTAAACATTTGCCGCCATCATTAGGACGCAGAGAGCCGCTCTGATTGGCTGGCTCGGCGGCTTGGACGTTAGCATGGCCTCCACTTAGGCAGAGTGTTCCTGAACAGCAGCCCACCTGCCGCTGAACCTCTCAGGGCATGCAGACATGGTGGTAAACATGCGGTATGCGTTGCCTTCTCATGCCGGGGAAGGTGCGGCGTGGCCATTATCTGGAAATGGGGAGTCGTCTATGTGATGTAGTGAGGCACTCACACGCTTTGCTGATCAAACCAATAGGATCCCGGTTTATTTGACCGCTGGGACCCTCTCTCTTCCCTCCCCTCGCACTTCCACTCTCTTTCCCCTCACTTTATTACTCTTATCTGTGAATCTTACCCCAAAGTCTATTATAACCTAATTTTACATTTCTTTCTCTAATAATGAGCTTCTTCCTTCCTCGTCTTAATCTTAGTTTTCCTGTCCCTTTTCTTTTTCGGGGTTTTTTCAGATACCTGCGTTCCCTCTTTTGCACAGTCGGCTCTCTTATCTCCCCTCACCAGTTTCTCAATTCCTCCCAGAAACACCAGTCTGGCTGAAGATTCACAGATAATCCTCCGTATTGCCGGCGGCGGATACATGATTTGTCTTTTCTCTTTTGTATTATTATTTTTTTTCTCCCTCCGTGTTCCTGAGACCGGCTTCGCTGTTGTTCTGATAACTTACTTCCACTTATGAGCCTCCACCTCGCAGTCGTGCTGCGCTGGTGGATGTAGGAGAAAACGGCAGCAGAGAAACGGCAGCAGAGCACTCTCCACAGACTGGCTCTTGCTTCAGTGTCATAAATGTGTAAATAACACCATGTGTTCAATGGAAAGAAGAGGGGAGGGTGCAGATGGACCCAAATGATAGCCTATAGTGAAAATTGGCTATCGTCCAGTTCATTGCGATTATGGAGGAACGGCATATGCGCTCAGTGTTTTTTTTTATTTTTTAATTTTCTTTCTTTCTTTTCCCCCCCAGTGTTAAAATTGCCGTGTGGGCAGAGCTGTGAGGCGCGGTGCTGTGGTGTCAGCCAGGAGTGGACAGGTGCTGCTGTGGAGAGATGAGGCTTCTGGAGGCTTTTATGGCCCTCAGAGCAGCTTTGCTGTTCCTCAGTGGGTCTTTAGTGGCACCCTGCAGTGTTTACAGAACATAGTACCTTCTAAAAAGTATTCACACCCGTGGAAACATTTCTTTAACTTCAACTTTAGTGTTTTCATTGGGACTTTACCATTAATTGGCCCCAATTTCCAGTGATCAGCCGATAATTACATGTGAAGTGGATCTTGTCTAAAAATCGACTGCTGTTCCTTTTACCAACTTCATATCCCCACGTTTCCAGTCAACTATGGCAGGTGTACACCGATTCCAGTTTTCTGGCCGATTGCTGATCACATATCTTTAAAAAGCCTGATCTACTATGAGGGTTTAGCTTTTTCCTCTGTGTTAAGTTAGGTTTTTGTGTCATTTTCAGTTAATTGAGTTGTTGTCCTGTCTACCCCTTTATTGTGTCTCGATCCCTGATTACCCTCTGTGTGTTAAAAGTCACCTGCGTTCCTTCTTCTTCGCCGTTTCCTTGTCGAAGCTGTTGAATCTGTCTAATCCGTTCTTGTCTGCTCTCATTTATTTTGTAACCAGTTGCTACCAGAATTTGAGCTTTTAGCCTCCCGCTCAATAACCCACAATAACTTTTGATCATTAAAGTCACACCAACCTGGGTCCTCAGCATCATCCTCACCGGCGCTAACCGCACTTCATGACACCTACTGATTCCAATTTTGGTCAATATTTTTTACTGCAAACTGCAAACGTTCAAACATGACTTGATGGGCGGGTCTGTCAGTTCAGCCGCAGAGCAGAAGAAGACAGTGGTTGAATTTTAGACCTTGCTAAAGTAGATAAGATCAGCTTCACCGATCATTGATCCCCCTGAATTAAAGAGTTCGACCAGCCGGATAAATCAGCTGGTCAATAAATCAGTGCAAGGTTCCTGGAAGTGAGACGTCACATAAGAACATTGGCAACATTTCAGACAAAAAAACAAAACAAACACGATTGGTGAGAATCAGTATCAGCGAGGTTATGCCTGACAGCTGCAATCAGTGCATCGCTAGATTTTAGGCAAAACTCAGCTCAACCAACTCAAAGTAGGACTTAAATGTGAAGTGGAAGGAAATAGAAACAAAGTTTTAAGTTCTTGACAAGCCTGAAATCTTTGCCCATTCTTCTTCTAAAAGTAGGCTAAACTCAGTTTAGAAAGATTACAAAGAGGTTGTATGGTAAATAGTTTTCAACTCCTCCCACTGATTCTCAACTGGATATTTATGTCTGGACTTTAACTAGACCAGGGGTCTGAAACCTGGTTCTTAATTTTAAGAGCCATTGTATATATATTTATATATGATTTTCTAGCTATTTTTGAAAGCACATTTAGAGTGTCAGGGTAGAAGGGGTTGAATGCATTGAAAGTTGAGTGAGAACTTGTCATATAAAGTCTGTTGTAATGTGATGATAGTTTCCATGGGGAAATGATCGAGTTGTTCTTGTCGCTGAAGTAAATTCCATGACACCTCAGTGACACGCCGGTTCGCTTCTTCACCTTCTTGCACACTTCTCACCTCACCCCTCTGACCCCCTCCTCCTCCTTCTCTTCCTCCTCCTCCTCCTCGCAGCACTGACAGTGTTTTAATGAGTTCGATGTTTTTCTCCTTCACAGTGGCAGGGTAATGTGCTCGCTGATGCTAAACGACTCAATGTTCTCGATGCTCTCTGACTTTGTCACCTCTTTCTTTCTTTCTCATGATCTGCTCTCATTTTTCCTTGTTTCACTCCACTCCGCCTCCTCTCGCTCTTCTTCTGCTTTCTCTCCCAGTTACGATCGCAGCTGTTCCCAGCATCCACCCCCGCTTTCCCGTGGCGTGGCCCCCCCTCTGTCCCTCGCGCTCCCCCGCTCCCTTGCTTCGGAGGACAGCAGGCAGACGCTGCACAGCACCGCCTCCTCCTTCACCGACAGGGAGAGGTAATGAGTCGCCCCGGCGGCCCCGCACAGCCACGGCCGAGCCCGTGACTCCGCCGTGTGTTTGGGTTTAAGTTTGCGAGCGCTTGCATGCAGCATAATTGGGCAGTACAGCGCTATTCTCTGTAGGACTTTAAGGCCTGGAGTGTCGGTGCTGCTGTTAGATGTATCAGTGTTTCAAACTCCCCCCTCCCCAGATGAGTCATCTGGCGCCTATGAGAGGCGCCGAGCCACCTTCCATGAAATGATGCTTTTGTTCAAGGGTATTTTAAGTTAATCTCAATCAGGATAATTATAGAGCCACTCTCTAGTGCTGCTTCTCGCTTCCTCCACCCATTGGCTTTTCCTCCGTCTCCTCCATCTCCCATCAGTCCCCAGTGATGCAGCTCTCCATCCACACCAGCTTCAGGCCTTTTACTTCTACTTCCTCTTCCTCCTCACTCTTCATCTTCAAACTTTTAATTCATTTATGTTTGCAAGATACAAACATACAAATCAATTTCACGTCTTATCTATACAATCCTCCATTTTAAACATTTGGACAATATGGCTGACAATAGACGCCATATGAGAATGAAACGCTACTGACAATAGTCTCGTTTCATATTATATCAATAATTCTTTATTAGTATTTTGTTTTAAATATCTGAAACTGGTTACTCTTCCCTGTGTTATTCAGTTTCCACACAACTGTATTTTATTTTTAAGTCGTTCCTTAAACTGCTGCTGCGCCAGTTACGCAACAAGTCGTTGCTAGGTAACAACACATTACACAGCAGGTTGTTACTAGGTAACCAACGAGCCAGTCAGTTAGTTGATGCCTCTAAACTTCCTTATTTGGAGAGGTTGAGCAGCTAACGGCTTTCCTCTGCCTACATCTCCCAGAATGCTGTGCGGTTCTGAATCTGAGTTCAGTGAAATTAGTATTCTATCATTGATTTATTTATATTCATAATGTGTAGTTCAAATCTTCTTCAAACTACAGAAATACATTTTCTGAAATAAGCCTGAAAAGATTAATCAGATTAATCGATTATTGAAATAATCGTCAACTAATTTAGTAATCAGTTAATCGTTAACTGGAGGACATTTGCTGAAAAAACAGCATGTTCAGAGCGATAATAAAACCAAAACTATTAGCTTCCCCTTATTCAAAGTCTGTGAATCTCAAAATTTCCTTTTAAGCAACTTTGACTGGCCAATTATTAGTCAATTATCAATCAATTAATTGATTAATGCAAAGATAAATCAATTAATCTACAAATAATCTAAGAAATGTTAGATTCATTTTCTTTTTAAAAAGGAATTGAATTACTTGATTATTTGCATCTTTTCATGCATTTCTAATATTGCGTAAGAAGAATTAAGTGGTAAATGAGAAATCTGTAGAATATGGCAATTTATTATTTGATTAATCAATTAATTGTCTGAATAATTGATTTCTAAAATAATTGTTAGTTGCAAATAAACCGGAACCCCATGAACAAAAGCTCATCTTAACTATGGTAAAGATAACAATAAAACTAACATCAATAAACAAAATGAATAAATGTAGTTATTTGTCTCCATCTTAAGTTGTATTTTTGATGCCATTTTTTTCCATAACGTGTTCCCTTCTTCTTCTTTTCTTGTCTCAGGATTCCAGTTGTGAACCTGTGACTGTGTTCTGTCCGTATGATAAACATTTCTGCCGGACCAGGACCAGGGGACAAACCTGCAGCTGTTTTATTTTCCTCTCCGACTGTGAAAGAAATTCAGGGAACCCAGGTATCCAGCCATCGCGAAATCTCCCCGGCTTCCCTAAGGTCTGAGAAGAATCCGACTCGCTCCCTTCCTTCTGCTCGGTGTGAAAATTTCTCTTGGTGTGCATCACTGTGACCCTGTTTTTCCACTGTTTGTACGGCCCCCCGAGCGCCGCCGAGCTTCCCGGCGGCTCTGCGCCTCAGCCTGCCGTGACTAATTCACCAACAAGCAGTTTAACAGCCATGCAGCATCCTGTTACCCCGCCCCCCTCTGAGACGGCCCTACCTGTGCTTCCTCAGCTTCTCACTATCAACGCCAATCCAGCAGACTCCTCTTGTCGTTTCCAGTCCTCTTCAGCGGTAAATGGTAAAAAATGGCTGTTCTCAGCTTCTCCAGGAGTATTTCACAAAGCCGTTTGGCGAGGCTGTAGCCAACAGGCAATGTGTTTAACATGTCACGCTCCAAAAACTGATGTTTATTCCCCTGCTTTGGGGGCCTGAAATGCAAATAGTGGGGGATCCTCTTCTCTGCAGATGTAGCCGAGCGTTTTGCTGTTGGGTTTTTCGTTTTTTATTTTCCTCATGATTTGTTCTCTTAATTATCTGGCTGAAGTTCGCCCCTTTGTCAAGCCTTCCTGCTGGACTGTTGTAAATGTGTTATTAAACAACGCACCTCCAGTGGCGGAGATAAGATATTCAGAACATGAATGGACATCTATTTTTCCCTCCCCTCCTGAGGTTGGACAGTGCCTAACAAAGGACAGATTTATGTTTTAATGCAAACGTGTGGGCGAACTGCAGCTGGGATCTTCAGACTAATCTTGGTGTTTGATTTTGTTTTCTTTTTTTCCTTGTTCCTGAGAGCTTTTCATCTCAATCTGGACAGCAAAACCTCCGTCATCAGCCATTTTGAGGAACACAGCACAAAAAGAAAAGAAGGATCACCAATGAATCTGCATGTAAACTCTAAGAAAACATGAAAATTGCTTATTGGAGAGTTTCCAAAGACAGATTTCAATTTCTGTTAAAGGGGACCTATTATGCAAAATTCAAATTTTTTATACTTCCATCTGCGTCTCTGGTGCTTCTAAAAAAAAGCACAAACACTAAAAAAAAAAAAACAACAACAACAAAAAAATACCCTGATGATTTCTAGCAACAAGTTAATACTTTTTGGTGTCTGAAAAATGAGCTATTTTGAAAACAGCGGGCAGAGCATGTTACCTAGCAGCGCCAGCCAAGCCGACTCCTACCACTAGAAAATGCAAGTGCACTGTTGTTGACTTACCATCCAGAAACCACTTGCCCCATTCTCGTTGACTGGGCTGGAGGCTCCACTTCTGCTGTTCAAAGACATACGATTGTGTGATTGTGCACCTGTTTTCAGCCATTTTCACATGACCTGTGGGGCGTGGCTAGGAGCAACTTATTTGTATTTAAAGTGACAGGAGCCCCTAAAACATCTCCAGGCAAAACTGAGCAGACTAAAATCTCATTATCTAAAAATGATTTTGAGCAAAAATTGTAATAAACATGTTTTGTATCGCCCATAAACCAACCCTCACCCGCTCAAGGAAGCATAATAGGTCACCTTTTACCTTTCTTAAGCAGCTTTGACGTGAATCCCAGTCAAACCATTTCCTACAGATGTCGTACTGGTGGTTTCATGGTAGCTCGTGCAACACTTCAGATATCCAGTCTTGTGGTCGTTCGTAGCATTCCCGTATGAATTTGGTCTTTCTGTTCCATGTAACTTGAATAAAGACTCGACACTGGCATTTTAGCTCTGTGTCTGTTTATTTCTGTGCATGCTGAACAAATTCCCCAGGGAGCTGCACAATCCTCCATGCTTTATGGGGGGGATAAAGCTTACATTGTGCATTTTAATAGATACACGTGTATCCTAATCTGTCTCTGAAGTGCGAGCATTTAGTCCGGCGCTTTGCATCGATTTTTAAACCTTTAGTCTCGGCGTTAAAAAGTCCTGCATGTGCCAATCATGTTTGCAGTCACTGAAAGGGAGAGGAGAATAATGCGACTCCTTATCTCCTCACCTCATATGGATTTCTCTCGCTTTAGGAAGATTAACAGGGTGCAAAGCAGGAATTTCCTCTGTGTGTAGTTCTTCAAACTAATGTCAATAAAATCAGGTCGGGAACAGGAAGAGGAATGCCATCGCCTGTTCTGAGATTCTCCACCAGTCCTGCTCGTGCAGCGCGTGTATACATCTCCTCAGGGCAATTCACTGATCAATCGGCGTAATAATGGATCGCCCAGCTTCCTCTGGGGAGATTTAATGGCTGTGCATAAAGTATTCACCCCCCAGGAACGTCTCGCATTTACGGACTTAAGAGCATTTTGTTCATTGCTATTTTATGAGATAGACCAACACAGTAGAGAGCATGGTGATGGCAGTATCATGCTGCGAGGATGAAAAAAAAAAAAACATTTGTACAAAATGTCATGCAATGTAAAAACACTGCAGGACATTGAAAACCAGAAGGGCTGAAACGATTAATCAAATTAATCACGATTAATCGATTATCAAAATAAACGTCAACTAATTATTAATGGATTAATTGTTAACTTGAGGTTACAGACTGAAAAATCAGCTCACTCAGATGTTTTAAACAATAACTGTGCAAAAATATATACATTTCTGCATTAAAAAAAAAAAACTTTTTAAATATGTTCAACTCAAGTATCATTAATGTAGCTTCACTTGGTTCAAATTTATAAAACAAAATCTTGTGTTAGACAGCATTTAATATTCAAAAATTAATTGGTTAATCCAAAAAATAGCTCAGCTCTACACTGTCCTGATGTTAAGTCATGAAGTAGCTGAACTTTTCCATTTAAGGCAAAAAAAAGTACCTATATTTTACTCTTTAAAAAAATTAATCAAATTATTTATTTGCATATTTTAATGTGTTTCTAATATTCTATTATTACGCTTAAGTGAAAAATCTGCATGTGCCTTTTTTAATATTAAATGTTTAAGCGTTAGACAAACGATTAGGTAAAAAAATTAACTAAAATAATTGTTAGTTGCAGGACTTTATGTTTTAGTCTCAGGAATAATTAATCAGGAACCAGTAATATGAACCAAAACAACAAAAAAAATATTTTATTCTCGTTTTAAAGTCGCTTCTATGACTTACTGTGTGCTGACTGTAGGGGGCGCTGATTATTCTGAACCCCCAAGAATAAAAATTTATGCCTAAAGTTTGTTTTCTATTGCTTGTCAATAAAACAATTACTGTAATTTAATTTGTTGAAGATGGAAGAGTACAATTATTTATCTTTAAATAGGAACAGAAAAGACAAAAACATTTTAATTCTGGTTTCTCAGTTTGACCACCCAAAAATTGAAACACTTGTGTTTTAGTTCAATGTTCAGCATTTTTAATTTGAAAAGGAGCATTTTTATTTTTTCTTTGTTGTGAATTAAAACCAAATTTTAAATTTCAGATGGTTTTGATCACAAAGAAAAAGTTTTTTTCTCTTTTTTTTAAATCAAACAACTTTTCCCCCCTGACTGGTTTCTGGTGGGAACATCCAATTACCAAAACTCAGACAGAGAGAGAGATTAATCTTCCTGCAGGAAAGTCTGTTAGATCAAAGCATGTCTATGCGTTAGAGTGACCTAGTTAAAGTCCAAACTTCAATCCAACTAAGAATCTGTGGTGAGACTTTTAAACTGACTCAAGGCATCAAAGTTTTTGTCTCGAGATAAAAACTTTAGTATTGATCAACGGAGGGCGAAAAACGTCACACCTTTTTGATTTTTGCATGTAAAAATTCAGTCGCTTCATAACTTTTGTCAAAATATTCTGATGAAATATTTTGAGATGTGTGAAGAAATTCAGCCCGTGTGTGTGTGACCAGGATGAGCGCGGAGGTCAAACCCGATTCTCCAGCATCCTCTCCCACTCAGACACCTCTAGAGGTGTACAGCTGCTAAAGTCACAGCTCCGATGTGGAAAAAAAAGAAGCTCAACACACCGACTGAAATTAACACGTCTATTTATAGAGGTGAGGCAGGATGACGGAGGGAAGGGGGAATTTAGGAAGATGGCGGGTTAAATGGAACAGGATAATTTCCCTGTCTGGTTTCTTGTCAGCGCTGGTCAGCCATTTGCCATCATTAACGTCGCGCAGGATGAAGGGAGGACGACGTGAGGAGGAAAGGAGTGCCGGACGCGGCGGCATGATGGAGGCAATCTGATCGTGATGGAGGTACAAAGAAGAGTGGCAGCAACTCGGACTCAGAAACAAAGGCTGTGGGCCAAACATACTGCTATAAAACCCGAATGCTGTTGCCGAACGCGTGTCTGCAGGCGCTGCTGTTGCACAGGGGAAGCCTCGGCTCTGTAAGGCATTAATCCCGTTGGGGACACGCCCTAATTAACGACTTGACCTCTTAACGGGGAGCCCCCCCTTCTGCGAGTTAACATTTAGTGGCTCGGCCTCCAGAGAGGCACATTTAATAAAAGAAGTGACATTAATAAGGCAGCCGAGATGAAGAGTGAGCTTTTTTATTTCCCGACAACTTATATTCCGATTCTTATACAAGTTTTCAACCCAGCAGAGAGAAAGAAAGAAAACAAATCAACTGAAAATTAATATGAACCAAACGACATAGACAAGCGTACACCTTTAAATACACGGATCCTGTTTCCGGTCAAAGGCAACTGATTCCTACTGCAGACGGTTCTGTCCTCGTGTGTTGACGAGTGCTTTTATTTACACCGAGAGTCTGTGCAGAAGCGGGCCACACGCCTGCTTCATTCGCCCCGCAGGCGTTTTATTTGTTGACAAGAATTTCCAGTGAAGGTGTGTGGCTGCTCTCCGAGAAGAATGGCTCGCATCGTTTTTAGGTATGTCCGTCCGTCAACGTGCCAATGAGCCGTAAATTAGCGAGTGTCCATCAGTGCGGCCGTCCTCCCATCCTAATCCCTCGCCTCAGTTGGACTTGGACCAGATCTTCCCGCTCCCACGCAGCCTGTTTGGGACACAGCCAATTAAAACAAAACTTGATGCTTAGTTTCAAGTTTATTTATATAATTCTGCTTTTAAGTGGGAAAAAAAAGTAGCAGAACTGATGCAACCTGGATGCAAAGATGCTAAAATATTCCACATCAATATTCAATCTGCTTTAAAGCTGCAGAGAGTCACTTTTATAAAAAAAATACATTTTTACATATTTGTTGAAAATGCCACCATGTTGTGACAATATGAGACAGATAATCTGTGAGCTCATCTGTGTTCTCCCAGTGGGAATTGGAAATAATCAATCAGAGCAAGAAGGCGGTCCTTAGCGCTGTCAATCACAATCTCACGTGGTGCTGCAGCTAGCATAGCCTATTGTAAACGCTCAGTTCAGTTAGCTTAGCCACTAATGACTGAAGATAAACAGTTTTAATGTGATGGTGAGTTGTTTGTGCATCATTAGCACATTTAGCAGCGCATACTGAGGTTGATTGGCAGCTCTAAGACTTGTCTCCTGGCTCTGATTGGTTGTTTTTTTGTCTGGAGTGGCACATTTATTCAGACAGCAGTAGTAGCAGAGAGAAGAGGTTGGAAATTGATCTTTTCACAAATTATTTGTCTCATAAACCGTCACAAGATGGTTTTCACTAAAATGTAAAAACATATTTTTATGAAATTACACAGTGTAGCTTTAACTGGAGTGAATCTGAGAGGATAAATATAAAATATGTCTAGTAAAATGTTTAATTTTAACCACTGACTTATGGATTTGCTTTGAAAAAGAAGGTTTAAAAGTTACTTAAATTTGAGGATTGAGGTTAAACTACCATTAATGTGGATATAAAAACCCAGAGTTGCTGTTTGAATGAAGCTCTGTAGATGGAAATCACAGGGAGGGCTCTTGTGGTTCGCCCAAATGTTAGCAGCCGGCTTTCTGTTCAGCAGGCAAACATAAACAGCGGCTGATCACCAGAGGGAGAAACGGCTCTTTGTGTATCCAGTGACATTTTACAATTCGGGACACAAGATGTGAAATTAGCCGTCGGTAAAACGGCTGGATGGAGGCGGAGCAGGGGACCGCGGTTATACTGGAACTGCAGAAACACTGGTGAGTATCTGATAACAAAAGTAGTTCACACTTCAATCACCAGCTCTATTTTTATTGTTTTGAAAAAAAAAATAAAAATGGATTCTTTTGGGGATTTGTTTTTTCTAAACTGATCGCTTTAATTTAGTGCTTGGTTTGATCTTCAGTGTTGTTCTGTGCTTTAAGCCTGACAAAAGAAGAGACGTGTTAAAGTAACAACAAAATAATGCTTGAATAAATCTCAATAAAGAGATATTTAATGAAATGAAAAGAAAAAAAACACCACATGCTGATTTTTGTTCCAGTTTTCTGAACTGTAACAGTAAAAAGAACGAGACTGGATTGAAAAGACAGAACTGAGTTTGTTCTAAATAAAACAAACTGTAAATCTAAAATAACTCAGATATTTTAATTGTTAGACTGCCAGTCGAAATAAATCAAGGCCTCAGAGCACTCACCCTTTGACCTTTGAAGCCTTCTTGCCCGGCTGTCGTGGTTCCTGAGAGGAGGCGGGGTCCCGAGGCTCGGCTGGCTGGTCTGCATCCTGATTGGACGCTGCTCCGGCAGGGGCGGGACCTGAGGACGGAGACGCAGCGCTGGCCTTTAACGTCTTTTGTAGGTTTGACACCTGATGGAAAAAGAAAACAAGAATCCGTTACAACAGCAGCGATTCAATTTGAGAAGGTTTATTCTGTGGAGCGAGG